TGGAAAAATGCCATTGATTATTTAAAAATTGAATTGACTTTATATATTAATAACCAGTTAATAAAGATATTTTCAAAATTTTAATTTTTTTGTCTTTGCTTTTTTGAGTTAACATCCGAAATTCTGAAATTAATTCAAATGTTTATTTTGGTAATTTTTGGTGATTAAACTGGAAAAACTTCGTCACTACAGCATTTATTAAGATATAATAAAGAAAATTAAACATGATTTTAGTTTGTGAATTGAATATATTTACTGACTGTGCTGATAGTCACGACTGATAAATTACTTATAAACTAATTAGCATTTAAAAAGCTTCACGACTTAACAAAAGGTCAACTTTTAAATTAATGAACATTTTTTCAGCACATCAGAAAACTGATGCAAAAAGTCATTTTTTAAAATAGCAATAAGGAATTTGTTAATATATCGACAAGATGCTGCTGTTTCTCAAAACTTTTTTCTTCTAAAATTTAAGAAATATGTTTAATAAAATATCTGCAAATATTCTTTTATAAAGTAGTATGTCTTTTTGTCCTAATAGTTGACTTAAGGATAAATTGAAATTCCTTTATGTTTTGAAATAAAAGTAGTAAAGAAGAAAAACGAAGTCTTGAAACCACAGAGAATACTCATGAAAAAATAGATTTAGTTTGTGACATTTAAATAGAATCACAGCATCACACCTTTCTTTTATTATAATTCATTGAACTTCTATTCATTTAATGTAATTGAGGGTTTAAAATTTTTATTCTATTCCAGTAAAATAAACAAACAGAGATTCAATAATAAAAACAGAAATGAAATATGCCTTATTGCAACTATTCAACCCAAAAAAAAGAAGGCTCAACAGAGCAGATACAAAAAACACCCGAAAATGTGTGAAGATGCGATGTGGCCATTAATTTATGACTTTTCTGTGTGTGTCTCACATTGACTCTATTTGTTGATGAAAAAGGAAGTCGAAAACCACCGAGATTTTGTTATTTATTGAGTTCTATGTAAGTTTAGTGTATAGTTGTTGATTTTTTTAAACAAAAGAGAGATCCATGAATGTATTTTTGAGCATTTGCACAGTAGAATTTTATTGTGGAAAATGTGACAAAATCTTTTGTCCATTTAGGGCTGTTATAGGTAAATATTTGCAATTCTTATTTTATATTGTAGAGAGAAAACAAAACTTTGGTTGTGTGAAAAGCCATGAATAACCAGAAGTTTATGTTTTGTTTAATTATTAGGAGTTTAAAATGATTTATAGATTTTTAATGGAAAAAAAAAAAGATATTTTGCGTCTTATAAAATTATTGGGCTATCAAAAATAGCCAAATGCCATTTCTAATCACATAAAATCAAGACATATCTTCATCAAATTTTTATCATCACAAAAGTGTTTTTCGTTTCTAATAAAATAAATTAAGATAAAGCTCATTTTATTTTATTTATCTTCTCAAATCAATTTGATATCATATTTTTATGAATAGAGATATGAATAACAAAAGAAGAAATAAATATGCTTTGAAAATTTCTTGATTAACTCAATAAAAATAAATTAAATAAAGTGATTTAAGAGAGAAAAAAGGAATAAACATCAATAATATTTGATAATTTTTTTTAAAATAATCTTCATAAATAAAACAAAATTTTTTCTCTAAATTATATAAAATCGTCATAAAACTAAATTGCTTTATAAATAGATAGAAACCGAAAAAAAAGATTTAAAAAAATCACTAGGACAACAACAGTCCTGAAAAAGAAAAAAAGATAGTTCTATCTGTATGTCAATTTAAAAGTCATTTCTTTCTGCAGAATTATCTTGATAGCCGTGACAAAAAAATTTAAACTGTTCCTCTTTCTATTTTGTGTTCATGTTTTGGTTATCAGAACTTTTTTGTCGATATTTTGTCATTGAGTCTTTTTTTAAAGACTTTTTAGCGCATTTTTATTTGCTTTGAAATTAAGTGTTGAAGAAATGATTAAAAATAAAAAATATAATCAGATTTCAACAAGCACCCATATGTGTAGAAATAATGAAATTTAAAAAAATAAAATTTTAAATAGCTAAATCACAGTATTTCTTGAAAGTAGAACTAAGATTAAGATGAGATTTTCAGGGTTTTGTTGTTGACAAACTTATGCGTTAAAATCAGATTTTTAACGCATATGCCTTTCCAACTTATTTTCCGATTGTGTCATTAAAAAATTTGCAATGCCCATTTAGGCACGCTTTTTTAACAAAATAATATTTTTACAGGCAATTTTCAGTAACAACAGGAAAGAATTGTAGATTTTAAAAATGACACAAGAAGAAGAATAAATTGGTGACAAAATGACTTTGCAGTCCTTCAACAGAACAACCGCAGCATGAGGCATGGAAAGAATAATATTTTGACTTTGTGAATAGAGCAGCAATATGTTTTGTTTAAAAGGATTAAAAGAAAAAAAAAAAAATGTATTTTTGTAAAGTAAGCATTCCAGAAATATGATATGAACATGAGTTGGGTTAGTTTAATGATCTGAAGTGTGTACTCATGAAACAGTATTTGTAGAATCAAGGTTATATCAATGTACTCTTCTCAAGAGTGTATCAGAAAAAACTTTGATAATAGATATTTAAATTACATCACGAATGTTTTTTTGTGTGTAAGATCAGTTTGTGTTTGAGAGTTCTTCAAAATATGATTTCAAATAAATTATATAATATCTTCGTCTGCTCTGGAGTTGAATAAAAATCAGTGCGATTTGAAATATCAGCAACATAAATTCTCAAGTGTCGTGAATAGCAAATGAAAAGAAAAATGTGTAACGTAAGTTTCCCTCAATCCATAAATACTGCCATAAATGACGACTTGAGTAAGATTTATCGCATCGCACTCAATCGTAAACTTTCATGAAGATATTCCACAAGATCTCGCCATAAATCAATTTCAAGTTGACGCCATTTTTTTCTTTCTTATAATTTTATTTCTCGTTTTTCTCCCTTTCAAAATTGCTCTAAATCTTCATACATATAAGTGTTTTTTCTTCATATACTGCAGAAGAAGATCAGTATATCAGAATAAATTCATGAGAAGAACAGAAATTGTTAAGAGAAGTAAAACAAAAAGAAATAATACTATGAAAGATGTTTGTCGATACACAAAGCGGTTTGAAATAAATTATCATACAATAATTCATAATCATAAAAAATAAGCATCTGACTCTGCAGTGCTTAACAAAGATATCATTCATAAATTTATTTTTTGTTGCTATTGCTATAAGCATCTGTAATATTCACATATATGTATGAGATGATACATTTTTCAACTGATTAACACAAATGAAAAAAGAAATATCTGAAATAATGTTAATGTGAAAATTTTTCTCAATTTATCACCCCTTTTGCGGATATTTCTCTCTTTCTCTTTCGAGCTTTTTTAACACAAAAAATTTATATTTAATGGTATCTCATACGTTTATTTATATTAATGACGAATGTTTTTGCACGATATACAATGTAAATGTTGGATTTTTTAAATTATTTCAATTTCACATCCTCTCACATGATGATGATTATTATTATGATGATGATCATTTCAGCCTTATTTTTTTATATTAAATTTTTTAAACATGTTCTGTGGTTTCCTTTTCTTGCGGTGTGAAATCGAGCACAACGGCATAATGCGGTAAAGATGGAGAGTCAGTAGATTTTTTTCGTTATAAATAAGATCTTTTTTTTTGTGCTGTTAATGTGAAAAAAGTTCAATTTTTAATAAGTTAGTCAACCAGAACAGGAAAAGTATATTTCATTTCTTAAGAATTATTTTCCTAGCTCAAAACATCTACTTCCCCTCTTGGTTCCTAAATTTACTATCGTTGTACATAATATGCAACGTATAATGTACCACAAGCATACTTAAATAAATAAATAAATAACTGATGACAATGAGAGTAACTAAGAAGTCTGTTGAAATTAAAAATAGAAAGTTGACAGCATTTTTCTTTGTAATTGAAAATTTAAATGGCTGTTTTTCGAATATAATTAAGAGATGATGGCTTCGTTAGTTGCATATATAAACATGACAATGAAAATAAATACTATCGCTGATAGTTCAAGATTACAGCAACGAAGCGGTGAACAGATGCAAGTCGTTAATTTATTTCTATCTTCTCGGGTGTTTATTTTCATAAATTAAATGTGAGGTGAAAGAATAAGATCGTAAAGAAAAATTGTATAAAATCACAAATCGTCAAATAATTTTTTTGGGACTCGCATTCACACTTTAGAGAAAAAAAATATATGTAAAATTTCCAATATGAGATTGAAAAATATAAAAGAGAGACTTTCCAATAAAAAATAAATAGATTTTGAGGAAGGAAAAATTTTGTGAATTAAAGGGAAATCTGAGAAAATTCCATGACAAAATGGCTGGTCACGCCCACCGTATTACTCTCTGTAATATCTCTCCACTCTACAATAGAGCATCACTTTACTTAAATTCCAATTGCATATATTCATCAAGATAGAACAAACACTGAGCATACAAGTACACATACAGATATAACAAGAGTTTTAAAATACAAAAAAATTGTAGACTTATCATATGTTTGTGTTGATGTCTTGTCTTGTGCATGATATATGAACTAAAGAAAAAAATTATCCGCCTTTTTCGATTATTTTTTTTCTTTTTATAACACGATAATAATTGAACTCTAACACAGACGTATATAATGTATGAATGAAAAGATTCGTCAAGTATCAATTTTTTATTAAAATCTTGATCATTGATTTTAGTTTTAATTAAAAGTAAAACGATTAGATTTTTGGTGACAAATAAAAACATACAGCATAAATGTAGCAGAAAATAATTATTTTTGTTACTTATATACACATACACACAAAATAAATCTCTACAAAACAATTTGATGCAATTTGAATAATCCAAAAGAAAAAAAAGGAAAAAAAATTAGACATTTCTCTCTCACAATTCATATTTTCAATTCAATATTCAATTCATTGTGCATGAAAATACAAAGAACCCACAGTAAGGCAGTGTGCGGGTCTATGTGCACATGTGTGTATTTATGTGTCTATGTATCTCCCTCATTTCTTTGCTGTCTGCATTTGTCGACTTTTTTTGTGGTTGGCTGTTGTTGAAATGTTTTCTGTTTTCTCAATTTCATGCTGGCATTTTTTCTCTTTGGAACTACAGAAAAATAAAAATCAGAAGGGAAAATATTGTAGAAAAAATAAGTAAAAATTGTGATATTTTTATACAACAAATTTTTCACTGCTACTCCTCAATGCCTTTCGATCATTTAGTTCAATTTCATTGCCCAAAGGCTCGGCTCGCAATTTTTTCTTCATAGCGATTCGCGAACTATTTATTTCTTAGTTTCTGATTTGGTGAAAATTTTGATTAATTTGAAGTGATTTTTTTAAGTGAATAATAGATACATAACTAATGTGAAAAACAAATTATTAAAAACCAAGTGAAAAATATTTTAATAAAGAATTTTAGAAAAATTAATATAAAACAGAAAAAGTATAAAAGATAAGAAAATTCAGAAAATTAAAGATATGAGTGAAAACCGATAGTAAATATTTAAGACAAGTCGAAAATTCAAAAGATATTATCAATAAGATAATAATAATATTTGTGATATTCTAATACTATTTTTTAAATATTCAAAATTGAGAATCAAAAAGAAAAGAAAGTAATAAAACCATTTCGAATGAAAATCGATCACAGACGGAAAGTTCATAAGAAACATATGAATAATATGATAATAGGCACGCAAAATCATTGTGCCGCCGCAAATTTAGCAAACTCAAAAGGTGGTGGAACGGATTTTTCAATTGCCGCTATTATGGCTCGTGGAGGTTCAAGTCGTGAGCCATCAGAACGAAGTATAAGTAAGTCTCATTTCGACTATGTAACCGATAATACTCTACTGTCTTTCGAGTCGACATTCCATTTTCCGTACATATCTTAAAATTTTTTTGCTCTTCTCGTAGTGCTGAAAATCGAGAAATGCGCAAATGCTGAATGCAACCATGAAAAAATTCTTATCTTTCTCTCATTTTTCTTCTTATGTGTTGACATTACGTTTATTTGTGAAAAGCGCACAACTATGAGAAAAGGAAAATTTAGTTTTCAGACAGTTTTAATATTTTTTGCTGAACTTTTCTTTCTGCTTATTAGATGAGTTGTTAAATTCATCAAGATTATATTTTTCTTTTTAAAAATTTATCTTAAACGTTTTAATGCAAATTTTATAAAATTGAAAAAAATATTGATTTTATCAAAAAAAAGTTTATTTTATATCTGACAGTTGAACTGCTACTTTTATTAAAAATCTTATAAGATTTCTTTAATCTAATCAGATTATTTCAAATTTAACAAAAAATTTCAGTAAACCGATAAAAATTCAATATATTGAAATATTTAACTTTCATTTAAACTTTACTAAGTGCGATAATAATAAATATTGGAATTCCGATTTAAAGTTATAGGTTTATTTACAGTTCTCAGAGACTACTTTTCAAAGAATTGCTCAGACACTTGAGTGAAATTATTCATTTCTAATTGCTTGGCAATAAGAATTAATACACGTTTAAAAAAAATTATCTTTATATATTTGTTGTTTTTACATGGACATTAAAATATAAAAAAGGTATTTTGTAAAGCTACCATGCAATTGAACTTAAGTATAAAAATCCATTCAACTCGTTTTCCATTCGTTAAACGGTTTTTGTTTTATTACTCTTGTCAACTAATTTCGTCACGGCTTCAATTCAATCAGTATCAACACAAGAAATTATATATGAGTGGATTTAACGTTCATTCGAAAACTTCTTAACATGACACAAATTGATTTTATTTCATTCATTCACTTTAAATACATTCTTCTTAATTTATTTATTCGACTCAAGGTCCATTGTCGGTCGATCGCTTTCCAGAAGGTGACGATGACGTTGATGTAGATGTTGAACAATGCAGCGATTCAGAGGCACAATCAAGATCACGAACACCTCGAACGACGTCTAATAATTCCCGCGCAACTCCTCCTAGTCCATCAGATGAAGAGCGACTTACACCCGAACCGGTAAATTTCAGAAAATTGTTTCTCATTGCTTGTTGCTAATTTTCAATTCAATTTTCATGTCGTGTTGTAAAAATTATCATGTCAAAATAGAGTCAACCAAAAATCACTGGTTCGTGCAATTCTGATGATCTGCGACCAATTCAGTGTCATTTGGAAACAAAGGAATTATGGGATAAGTTTCATGATTTGGGAACTGAAATGATTATCACAAAAACTGGCAGGTGAGCTAATTTAAAATATTTTAAAATTAAAACAAAAATGTGAAAATCTAAATTATTTATGAAGAAAAGTAGCAAATCTCTTTTTTACCAACTTAAGCTTGGATGACTGCCCTAATAAAAACTTTACGTTTTTTAATCGATCAGCCAAATATCTATCAGCTATCCATATTTCATCTACATAAAAGTCGAAATAATACGCACATGTACAGCAATTAACTCTTTACAAATGTTTCAATTAATCGACTATATGTGTATATCTCGCCCTATCGAAAAGCAATTAATCATAAAAGACTTGCGAGAGATAATTTCAATTTCAAATAATTATTTTCTTCCTCCTTCTGTTGTGGAAGTTTTTTGTTGGCCAGAGCTCTTAAAAGGTAAAAATTACATCATCATTAAAACACATCATGTTTATTTGAAATGACTAAATTAACCGTATGAGAATGGTGTATTTTTTGGAAGTCAAGCGAGACATTATAAATAAAAAATTGAAATAAAAATTTTGAGCATCTGTCGATTGTTTCTTAATATTTTTACTTTGTTGCTGGTTAACTCTTGTTTCACTAGTGTATGCCTAGAAATATTTATAAAAATGCTCTACACACTGATTAGCATTGATATGATAATTATTACTTTTTGAACAGAAATTTGAGGCAGTTAAATCATCCCATAAAGTTTTTATATTCAATCAAGAGATTTTAAGAAAATAAAATTTCTATTCAAATTGTCTATTTGATTGTGATTATGACCCAAAAATATATTTTCACAAATTTCATTGCTAAAATTTTCTCCAACCCATATTAGACTGGATATAAAATGATGCATTTATATTGATGTAGTGACCAAAAGTCATAACAATCAAAAATTCGTTTTAAAATGATCAATAAATGTCAGAGTTAATAATAAATTGAATGTGAATATAGACAACGGTGTGTGTGTCCCACATAATTTTTTCGATCTTTTTTACATAATAATGTAATCAATCAATTGATGTTTTCATTCGACTTAAATTATCTTTTACATGCATGACTATAAAAATACTGTTTAGTGTTTGTAAAAAGACACATTAGAGTGTTTAAAAGCAGAACCACAAAACACATGTTCTTAGGCTATATGAGCATGAAAATTCATGAAAAAAATTCTTAAAACGTTTCCGATCCTTCTCGCTTTATATTCTTTCTTATCTTCTTCATTGTATCTTTATAGAGTCTTTTTATTTTATATTTTTTGAGAAAATAAATTACCACCAGATATTGGTTTTTAGGGGCCTTATTGCACTGCACTGAAATGAACATGTCATGATAATGATGAATTTTTTTTTAAAAAAAATTGATCCAAGCCTAAGTATTTACTTTTTCTCCAAGAAATATTTTTTCCCTATTTTCCAAAAGATCAGAAAAAACAGAACACACACAAAATAAACGGACATCCAAAAGATAAAAGAAATGAATTATATAATTTGTAGTCAATTTTCTGTGTTAAAGTGTGTTCAGAACATGCATTAAACATTTTGTATAAAAGATTGAAGATAAAAAAAAACACATATATTGGATTTCTTCAGACGCTATTTAGTCACATTAGAAATTAATTTGTTCATTCGATGTCTTTATTAAACATTCAGAAATTTTCAAATTTATTTTAACATTTAAGGGTATAGTTTTCTTGTCGAATATCCATTGCCACTTCATTTCCTCTTTTTATTTTATTTTTTTAAAAGAATTGCCCTCAATTCGGAAATACTTGAGATTATTCTAGCTACTTACACTTAATATTAAATTTCAATTCTTAATAGATTAATCACAGATATTTTTATTTGAAGAATTTCCTTTCAATCTTTAATTTCTTGAACACTTATATCTAATTTGAACATTTTTAAACATTCATACATTTTTATTATATGATATTATGCTTTAAAAAGTTCTTAATAAACAAATGAGTCGAAAGAGTAAATCTTGTTCTTATGATAATTTAATAGTTTGCTTACAAAAGATCAAATCAATGAATATTCTAAAGTATCGATTGAGAAATCAAAGTGAAATGAAGATGTGAAGGAATAGAAGAAGATGAAGAAGTGAAAAGATTAGAAAATTGAAAACGTTTAAGCAATGATTTATTAATAATAAATTTATGTCCCAATTATTGTTATGTCTATTCATATTTCAAATTTTTAATGGTTAAGAGTATTGACTGAAGTTTCCGGTGATATTTTAAATTTACATAAGATATTTGTTTGTTTGATTTATCTAAAAAGAACTAAAATATTGATGCATTGGGATTAACTAATCAGTAGGACATATATATTGATCTTTTGTCGGTATTGATGAATATGGATTAAAATATTTCTATTGAATTGAGATTGTGAAGTTCTAGAGAATAATACTTAATTACCATCTTTTATTCATTTGATTACAAATGTAATTGAAGTATGAATTGCTTTAAAAAAATTTAATTTAAGTTGAAAATGTTAAAACAATGCAAGCAAATAATGTTGATCATAAAAATTATGAATTTGTGTTTCGTTGAGACCCAGCGACTCAATATATGAAAGAATAAGAAGAAAGAATACAATTTCAACTAAAAGTAATAATAATGAATTTGTTTTTTATGAAGCAACATGCTCATAAGAGGCTTACGACTTTTGGGTTGAATGAGAATATAAACAAATAAAATTATTAATAGTTTGTTTTAATGACTTCCAAAAAGTCGGAGAAACTGAAAAACTGATGTTAATTAATATCATTCTCTTTATTTGATTTCTCGAGTGAGTTTTTTTTTGTGTGTCTACTTTAGCTCAAGTTTCATAATTTTTTTGATGTGTTCTTATGACGCATCACAGGGTTTGTGATGTTGAAACTTTCATCACCTCATGTGCTGTTAGCAATATATTTTTGAGATAATAAATTTGTGTTTATTCCATTTCTAACTTGATGAATTCATCGCACAAAAAAAATATTTTTTATCGACTGACTTTTATGATCGTTTTCATGGTAAACGAAATATATTTTATTCTCTGACGAAATATATAATAATTATGATGAAAAGAAACAAAGATAAGTCCCTGGCAGAATCATCATCATCAACATACGTTCTTTTACTCTTTCATTCATTAAAAATTCGTCATTCATTTTCATCTTTCAAGCATGAAAAAACGGAAATAGAATGAAAAAAAAAAATTCTCTTCAAGCTCATTTTGCATTAACATTTTTCACATTTTGTTTGTTTAATGTGCATATACACATTTATATATGAAAATAATAAATGTATGTAAATGATGCGCACATAATTGTTGTTGATGGTCGAAAACAATTTGTTGTCAAATGAGAAAAAAAGAAGAAATAAAAATATTCTTTATAGTTGCTGTTGACTAGCTGAGAAAAAAATAAATGAATGAGAATATGAGAAATGATCTTTAATAGCAGATGTGAGATGATGTGAAAAAAAAAACTGAAATAGTTGAAAAGAAACATTTCAAGTTCGCTCACATGCGAAAAATAAAAAATTAAGAATTTTTATTGTATATGTGCTTGGGATTTAGGAAAGCCAAGTTGAAATGACGATCATTCGTGAAAATTTAATTAAAAAGATATTTTGATTTTTTATATGACAATTCAAATCAAATTTAATTACAAAGCAAGAAATATTGTTATACATTATAGAGAGACTTTAATTAAAACATTATTTTTACTTTCATAATTGTCAGTCTTGTGATTCATAATTTAATAGCATTCATCAAAATGTAACTCATTTAAGTAATTTTTATAAAGAAATTTTCATTTTTCCAAATTTTCTTAATGAACTTCAATTAAAATTGACAGGAAAAAATATTTATGGATACAAAAATTATAGTCTCGAGTGACAAATGAAGGGCAGTCCATATGAAATGGATATTAAGAGTGCTCATTAAATATCCCAAAACAATTACTACTGTTTCAAACATGAAATCATGAAAGGAAACACAAATCTATTATTTACAGTTGTCAATCAAATTAATTATAATGTGGATGAAGCATTTTTTTTTTGTTGATGTGTGAGGTCAAAAAAATTGCAAAGTGGATTTCAAAATGTCCATTATTGTGACATTAAAAATAAGAAGAATAATCTAAAATTCCATGAAAATGCTAACCAATCTCACAACTTCACACCATGTAACAAAATTCCATCGTTAAAAAGCTCATATCCTACAATAAAATTAAAAAGAATTATAACATGTCATGCCCACACATTACTGACATATACTGATTGCTATCGAGCTTCTTTAATGGAAGACTTGAATTTTATTTTTATTCAAGAGTGCGAGAGAAATATGAAACAAGAAGTTGTCTGACTTCTCATGTTTACCACATATTTGCGTGTGCCTTTCCTTCTTGCTTATACTTGCTCAAACTCAAATGAATGTTAAGACTTCTCTCCTCCTTATTCTGTCATCTATCATACTTCGAAGCTTCTAACTTGAAAATATAATTGAATATTATGAAACTAATATCATCTTTTAGAGCAGAAAACAGAAATTATTGTAAATTTATTCAGGGTGAACAGCATAAAATAAAAAAATTGTTAACCAAGAAGGAAAAGAACAAGAGCATGAGACGTTGAATAGTGGTATCTATAACGATATATCTATGTCACATAAATATATCAAAACTAAAGAGGACTCTTTCAGCGGGGAGTCACACACATGAGCCTTAGTTTTAATTTTCCGTTTGAATTATTAACTTATTGTTTTATTTGGTCTTGGCAATAATTTACTTTTAAAACATTTTGAACTCAGCTAACAAGTCATCAACACACACCTAACTTTAAATTACCAAATAACAATAAATTTCCGTTGTTGATAATTTTAGCGACAAATTGAAAATTTTAGATTTCACATAAATTTGTTTCTAATTTAGAGACAGCTTAGTTTTTGGATATTGAATCAGCAGGAGACTAAAGTTTTTGTAGGTTATGAGGGTATTCTCTTCACATTTAAGACACGATAAAACATTCGATACTTTATCATT